TTGCTTAGGATCCCTAACCAATACCCAGCGAATCCCAGCACCCACCCACCTCCACATTATTATGGGCTCCAAATGAAGACCAAACGCGAGCGCTAATTGAATTAGTCTATTGAAAAAGACTGTCAGGTACAATGACGTGGCTCGAGGCCCCACATTTCCCAAGGTCTATAGGCTTTGGGGACCTGCGATGTATAGTCTGACCTTCTAGCTCATAATAACGCCGCACTTGTAGCAGAAATCTCCTCGCATTCACTCCCAACAAAACCGCTGGTCATCCAGTCCCCGTAGGAAGGCTGCACGCTATTGTGTTGCGACAACTCATTCATGTCCCGCACCACGAGGCCCCACCGCCATCTGATCTACACTCGAAATGCGATTACCACCCTGTACATGCAACACGCTCCTACTCCCAGCCCATGGCGCACATCCCTCACTAGGCTGGAAGAATTTCTTTCATACTTTTCCTCCTGATCCTCATCTTCGAAAGAGAGATGGAAACATGCAGGACCCTGGCATTGGTCTCTGCCTACATAAAATCTAAAATTCTATGGACACAGAGGCTGACCCTCTTTTCTGAACAGCTTATACGAAAACCTCCAGCAAATACATTTCTCCATGCCCGACTAGTGTGACTGAGTTTGGTGTACACACTAATGTGCACATACAGGGACCTCCTGCCGCACACTACACACACACACACACACACACACACACACACACTACTTTTATAGACTCATTTTCTCTCTGCGTGGCTCTGATATACCAAGCAAATAAACACAAATATAAGCTCTGGTCTCCACAGCCATGGGCCACTCTTCAAAACCGCTGAGCGTTTTCCCCAAAATTAGAAGAGGAGGGGAAGAAGGATAACATTTCTCAGCCTTCACTCTAATAAACATATGTAAGTCTTCCGAATATGTGATCCCCAAACTCCCCTAGCTACCAGCTCCCCAAACATGTATGCAGCATTCTCCTCTGTTGGTCCAGGTGCCTTTTGCTCAGTGGAAGCTCCTGATTAGCCTCCGAGAATCCAGGAAGTCTAGGGATGGGAGAAGGGAAGGAGTGCTGGGGCGTCTCTCTGTCCTGTTTACCCAAGTCCACCATCATCGAAGGCCTCTTTGGGACCCCCTTCCTTCAAGCAAAAAAAGTAACCCTCCCCCACCAACTTTGGCATTTGAGCCAAAATAAAATCTTGATCTTCCTTGTCATTCTTCACTTTTATCTGGGATATCCCCAAGTAAAGGGCACTTGGGGACAATCAACTTACTGCAGAGACATAGCCCAGTTTGAGGCTTTCTGTGGGCCTCTAGCCCAGGTGACTACATAGCTCAGAACTACAAGGCCACAGAAATGCACACTTCGTACCCCCACACTTGCATACCCTTGGCCCAGGAGCAGATGACATTTGGAGAATGGGGCTCCATTCCATTTGGGTCAGGCTTCCCTACCTGCTACCTGCGGGCCCACCTGCCTGCCACCCCGGACTGAGCATCTATCAAGTTGAAAGTAATTCCTTAACTCCCAAAGGCAGAAGCGAGTACCCCCAAAAGGACTGCCACTCAGATATACCCATTCGTGCACATACAACCCTTCACACACACCCTACCCCTTTACCCACATACTTGTACAGGCAACTCACCCTGCCCGTAGTTCCTCACTCACACGCCCAGCCCTGGGCTCACTCAGAGTCCTCTGAACCCCTCACCCAACCGTCTCCACCAACATTCGTTCACTCAGCCTCACACACTTCACTCCCAGGCTTGCCAAGACGCCAATGCGCTCACACAGAGTTCCCAACAGCACGTTCATTTGCAGGAGGGAGAGGAGGGCGTAGGGTCTGGGTGGAGGTCATGGAGCGAAGGGCGGTGCGGGGTACCTAGCGTCTGGGCCAGACCGGGCCTGGGGGAGGTGGGGGGGACGAGCCAGCGCGCGGAGTGCAGCCTAATCCAGCTCGAGCTCGTGGGCCGCGGGTGCATTTATCATCCCATTACTGTAACAAATCCGGGCTCCACTACATGAAAGGTAAAATGAATTACCGACGTTAAGCCGTCAATAAAGTCATTTCTGTAAATGGTGTCTCCAAAGGGCCGCGGCATTATTCAGCTGGCTTTATCAGCTGGCTGGAAATTACGTGGAGGAGCCGGGCCGCGCGGCGCGCGGGGCCGCTCACTTTGATTAAGCGTCTTGCCAGCGCGATGTGACAGAGCTTTTGACCAGGGTTTTATTCACAGGCCTGTGATGAACGCCAAGCTGATCAGGCGGAATGAAGAGTAATTAAAACCTATAAATTATCTTCCGCAGCCCTTCTCGAGGCGTCTCCTGCAGGCGAGATAAGGCGTCGAGACCCTATTTACGGCGCTGAAAGGGACTGCGGCGCACAAAAGCTACGCGGCTAAATAGGATATTGATAGTGTCCTAATTAGAATTTAATTAAGTACCTACGCTTGCTTGCGGGATAAAGATTTCAATTTTGCGAACTTAAATATAAATACAATCCCACCCCCATTTCGGGGAGAAGGGGTGGGGGCTCCTGGAAATTTCGGGGAGCCCTCGGTGTGCGACGGAAGAGGAATCGGGAGACTCCAAGGTGGGGTTGGAGGCGGCTTGGGAAGGTTGAGAAGACTGCCGCGCAGCGTTAGGGAGAGAGGTTCTCTCCCCTAGGACGCAGCACAAGTCTACCCGGGAGCTCAGCCCTCAACATCGGGGGACCCTCGCCTGCTCCCAAGATGCGGCGAGCAATACGAATTTCTGCTCTCTACCAACCCTTTTGAGAAACTTCAGCTACTGCAGTGGTGGTTCGGCTTGTTGTGGGTTTAGTTGCCTGTTCCTCCTAGCCTAACCCCCTGTGAGTTTTCTGGAAAACTGGAGGTAGGGGGATTATTCCGGATGTCACAAATAGACAGTATTTCCTGAGAGATCCTTTCTTCACTGTTCCATTTGGTGAGGGCGTTCAGGGCGGAGGAGGTCCGCTGGAGCTCTAAGATGATACCGGCGAAGGCCTCGTTTGCCAACGCCTTTCTCCGCCACCGCAGGCTTCAGCATAGTCGGATACTGGTCCTCCAAAACGACTCCGGAGACAAGTCCCGCAGATGCCTCGAGCCTCCGTCCACACCCGAACCCGTCCCTCACATGCTCGGTTATGAGAAAACTTTGGAGTTGCCTCTACCAGGAAATAGCGAAAAAGAGCCCAGAATGGAAGCGGCTGGCGGCGCCGCGCTCCCTGCAAACTAGAGAAGAACGAACAGAGCTGGAGCCGGAGGCACCAGGGGAGTTGGGAGCATTCCCAGGAAATTCAGTTACCCCGCAACTGAGGGGAAGCTCCTTGTTCACAACGTCAGCTTGGCAAACACTTGGGATGCAGCGCTTTTATTAGATATTACTTTGCAGGAAAATGTAACACGGAGGTTACCCTCAACTCTAAAGCTAGGGCCTAGCGTGCATCCGTGTTCTGACTCGCCGGCCCGGGGCCCTCCTGAGACAACTCTGCGTTGCGGTGACAGCTCGGACTCCCACTGCCAGGCAAGGTCCAGTCGGCTGGCTCAGGAGCTATTCCGAGTCCTCCGGGCTTTGGCTCTATGGCGCCAGGGCAGCTCCAGGGTGTTGTGGAAAGTCCGGACCGGGGCATGGGTGCGGATTCCCCACAATGGGAAAGCAATGAAGCCGGCCGGCAGGAGTCGTACAAACTCAAACGTGAGATGCTAGCTGGGCGCAGTGGGCCTTCAGGTTTGCTATTTGTGAAAAATAAATTGCGCCTCAGGAAGTAATCAACTCTAGATCTATTTCACATCCCCGACCTCCTCGTCTCAGTCCTCTCCCTCCGCTACACACACCCAAACCCACACCCACCCACAAACACACAAACCAGCAGTGACAACCACTCATCCTTCATAACAGCAACCAGAGAGTGGAGAAAATAAAAAGCTGAGTTTCTTAGGCGTGGGGGTGCAAAACAGCCAGGCTCCTGCCTGCTGCCCCTGCTCTCAGCGCGCACAGACCCATAATCCTGCATTTCTCCAACAAGTTGTTTATGGAGTTGCTTCTCCATTTGCCTACATCCCAAATCCACCCCTCCCGGGTTTCTTCTGCCCCCTCCTCGGTCCCGGCATGAAGGAGGGGGAGGGGCGCGGGTGCGGGAGCGGGTGGGGGAGGGCGGACCGACGCACGGGCCCGGCGCCGCGGCGCCCCCTCTCCGCCCGCGGCTGACGCCCCCGGATTATTTATCCGCAGAGTCCCGCGCGCGCCCATTGGGCCGAGGACGGAGTGTCAGCGCGAGTCCCGGCTCGCCATTGGCCCCGCACACGTGCGGCCCTGACTCACGTGCTTCCGGTTTGAACGCAAAAAGTGTGCCTGGGTGATTTTTTTTTTAAGCGAGAGAGTTTGTGCAAAGATCCGAGCTGTCAGAGATTTGAAAAAAAAAAAAAAAAAAAAAAAAGCCCCAGCCCGGCGCTGGCGGAGACGCGCTCTCCCTGCAAAAAAAGCAAAGGCGATTAAAGGCGCTGCCAGCCTCATGCTCTGGGCACAGCTGAGCGTGACACTCGGGGAAGTCAAACCCCTCACTACTGCCTAGGAAGACGGCTAGACTTTAAAGACTATTTTTTTTCCCCTTTAAGAAAAAAATTCTTGGAGCTGTTTTCTTTTTTCTTGGTTTCTTTTTCCTTTTCTTTTTTTTTTTTTTTCTTTTTTCTTTTCTTTTCTTTTTTCTTTTTTTTTTTTTACCGTGGCTTACTCCCCATTTAAATCAAATCATTGAATCTGGTTGCAGAAAGAAAAAAAGAAATAGCCAAGTGTCTCCATATCTGGATGTCTACAAATTAGGGAGAGACAGCGAGATCTATCTGCTAGATAAGAGCAAGCGATCCAGGCCAGACGCCTGAGCTTTTTTCCTGCACCCGCCCCGAGCCTTCGCTAGGGCTTCGCCTGCCTCCTTCCTCCGGGCACCCCCACGGGCCGCTGGCAAAGTGGGGTGGGGAGCGAGGAGGTGGGGGCGGGGGCCGGCGCGGTGGCCGGGGCGGCGGGGCGGCCGAGCATGGAAGAACAGCAGCCGGAACCTAAAAGTCAGCGCGACTCGGGCCTCGGCGCGGCGGCGGCGGCGGCGACCCAGGGCGGCCTCAGCCTGAGCCTCAGTCCGGGCGCCAGCGGCAGCAGCGGCAGCGATGGAGACAGTGTGCCCGTGTCCCCGCAGCCCGCGCCCCCCTCGCCGCCCGCGGCGCCTTGCCTGCCGCCCCTGGCCCACCACCCGCACCTCCCCCCACATCCCCCGCCCCCGCCGCCTCAGCATCTCGGGGCGCCTGCTCACCAGCCGCAGCCAGCGGCCCAGCTGCACCGCACCACCAACTTTTTCATCGACAACATCCTGAGGCCGGACTTCGGCTGCAAAAAGGAGCAGCCGCCACCGCAGCTTCTGGTGGCTGCGGCAGCCAGAGGAGGCGCAGGAGGAGGAGGCCGGGCCGAACGTGACAGAGGCCAGACTGGCGCAGGTAGAGACCCTGTCCACCCGTTGGGCACCCGGGCGCCAGGCGCTGCCTCGCTCCTGTGCGCCCCGGACGCGAACTGTGGCCCACCCGACGGCTCCCAGCCAGCCGCCGCCGGCGCGGGCGCGTCTAAAGCTGGAAACCCGGCTGCGGCGGCGGCGGCGGCGGCGGCGGCGGCGGCCGTGGCAGCGGCGGCTGCGGCGGCCGCAGCAGCCAAGCCCTCGGACAGCGGTGGCGGCGGCAGTGGAGGCGGCGCGGGAAGCCCCGGCGCGCAGGGCACCAAATACCCGGAGCACGGCAACCCCGCCATCCTACTTATGGGCTCAGCCAACGGCGGGCCCGTAGTCAAAACTGACTCGCAGCAGCCTCTCGTATGGCCCGCCTGGGTCTACTGCACACGTTACTCGGATCGTCCATCCTCCGGTGAGTACCCAACTCCGGGCTGCGCATTGCCTTCTTGCCCCGCCGACCACCCTAGAACTCCAAGCTGCGGCGCTAGGGAGAGCAAACCCGGCCTCGGGCACTCCTTTCTCTCACGCCTGCTTCCTCACCCAGTTCCAGCCACAACCGAATGTTCACTCAGCTCTGCGATCCTGGCCTCTGCGGCCAACACCCGAGAAGCTACAGCTCCTGGCACAGGAGGCTCCAGTCTCGATTCTTTGGTTTTGAACTCTGAACCCCTGGGGCCTTCTTTGTCTTTTATCTTTATTATTCTTAGGAAAGGTACACAGTCAATGTTTTTCTTTCCAGGGAAACCGGTGTTTAGATATGGCGGGAAGGTGGGCCTAGAGATGTGTGTCTGAAATCCCACCAGCCTGATCGATCGCCCGGAGGCCAGATTGGACCAGAGAAGGCCTTGTTCAGAAAAATTATCTTCACTGTGTGTCCTTACAAACACAAACATAATCTCGATATTTTCTGCGATTTATCATTTACATTGATAAATATGAGGACACACACAGGAAGACAGAGAGGAAAGCATCTGAACGCCGTCCCTATCCCCGGGCCGTGTAGCGAAGAGTCTAACCCGGGTGGGTAGAATCCAGGGAAGGGCAGTTGCCAAAAAGGTGGGTGCTGGCAGCCCCTGGTTTTCTGGAGCTGACACACAGTGGGAGAGGAGAATAAACAGGTCAGGCTCAAGCCAGAAAACCGGGCCAAGGGCTTGAGAGCCAGCTTCCTCCGTAGCTTCTCCGCGGCGCGGCTCCCGCACCCTCCCGGCCCGGCGCTTTCCTTTTTTTCCCTTCTTTCTTCCGCACATCCAACAGTTAGCAGCTTTCTGGCATCCGAAGGCCTGTTTTTCCCGGCTTTCCTTCGACCCCTTTTCCGCGTGCCCCTCGCGCTTGGCGAACCCGAGTCGGAGACCTCCTTTGGGCCCTAGGAGAGGAGGCCGAGGCCTGCCCGACGCCCCGGCCGGGCGGGCAGTGTCTGGGAGAGCGGCAGAAGCTTTGGCCCAAGATCAGCACTCCAGGCTCCGGGTCCGGCAGGGGGCCGGGAGCAATGTAGCCACGCGCCGCTTTCCTCTCCCTGGTCTCTTGCCGCCCCACCGCTGCCGGCCGGGCGCGGATCGATGCGCACTATCAGCCCCCACCATCTCGAGCCCCGTTATTGACACGTCGGGCTCCCTGAACCTCCGAAAAGCTGCTTTGATTGACTCGCCTGATGGATAGAGTGATTGAGCTGTCAGGCTGCACGGCTGCGGCTGGCCGGGAGACTACGATTTTATTACAAGAGTCCGTGCCTCTGCACACACATACAACAACACTTCAACATGTCCCGGACGCTCAACGCGCAGCGGGGCCTTTTTGGGGATGTGCACATTTCCTTGGCTATTTCTGCCGGCTCAGCTAATTACAAATCTAAACCCCAGTTCTGCTCTGGAGAGGGCCTTGGCTTTGTTCTTGCCCACTTTCCTTCTTATGGGCCTGGGTAGGTAGGAAGGGGACTGGCTCCTTCTCCGGCTTGGGCAGTTGGGGGAGAAGGGGATGAGTCGCGACCCAGATCTGAGTCTTTGCAGAGTGTTAGGCCTGGACTCTTTGTCATAGGACAACTGGTTATCCAGGCTCCTGCCTGCCTCAGGAGCCAGCTGCCCAGATGCCGGAGGTTTCGGCATGTTCGGAGATGCGGGCAAAGATCCTCCCTTTTAGACAATTTTAGAGATGAACAGGCCTGACAGGGACTTACTTTGGTTCAGTGAGCTACCATAACCAAGGCAGGACCCAGAAAGTAAATGCCAGAAGACTTGGGTGTGGAAGCGGATGGGCAGAGGTGCAGGCTTTTGAGGTACACACCAACAGTTCAATCCTCTCCTGGTTTTCTCGCTTTCCCTCCTTCCTTTCTCAGGGACTGGGCCCTCCTCCCAAACTAGTATTTGAGGAGAACTTCACCTTCTTAAGGAGGTTTCCTGTGTCCCCTTCCCTTTCCTATCTTGGGGTCAAAGCACAATTTTTTTTTCCTAGGTCATCCCTGTCTCCCTCCCTCTGCTTCTTTTTGCTGTAGATGGGAGAAGGGGGTGCAGTCTCCTTGCAAATGTCATCAGAAGGCAGAGAAAGCCAATCTGGCTTGTTTTTGTTATTCAGTTTTCAGTCCTGAAATTGCAGCAGTTCAAAAGAGAGATGAGGAATACCTAGATGAGGGAGACCTTGCCCCACTCAGCCTGATGGAGGAATGGGGAAGGCCCTCTCTTATTGGCACCATCCAAGGGGCAAGGCTGAAAACCCAGGGACCAGGGTCATGGGGGTCGGTGAGGGCCTTTTCTTCTCCTTCAGAGAAGGGGTGGTCTCTGCATCCCTGAAACCCTGGAAAAGGCTTCCTTTAGGCCAAAGAGAAAGAAGCTGTGGAGGTGTGTGGGGGAAGGTGAGGTGGGAGGCAAACACCAAATACTTCTCCCAGCCCCTTCCCTATCCCATATTTTTCTGGGGTCAATAGCTACAAGCAGATGGGGTCTTACTGTAGGTGCTCCTGTAGGTACACTTCTTGAGGAGGAGAGAAGGATTAGTTTGAAGGCTGGTGACTCCCCCAGGGCCTGCCCTCACTGTCCCAGTCCTTTCTATTTCAGAGCTGTCAGGACAGCAGGCCTCTGACCCCCAACTCTGGGCTGGGCCAGATGAGCTCCAGATATTTCTCCATCTTGGATTACTGCCTTCTTGGCCCGGGAAATGTTGTGATTTCAGGCTGTCCCTGACTGTCCTGTGAGAACTGGGGTGTGAGATGCACCTACAACCTCAACAAGTTTTCCTCCACTGCTCCTTTGCCCTCTCGAAGGGAACACGGAGACCCCAGTGGCCTGGCGAGAGGCCCCTCAGTGGAGGGATTAGCCGGCGGGAGGGAGCCAGGGGTTCTGCAGGGCTTCCAAGATCGCCCTGGAAGCGCGGGGCTGGAGGCCCAGCTGGGCAAGGCAATTCTCAAGGCTTCCTTTGCCCTCTACCCCCTCCCTTCTGTCCTCCGTCCCCACCGCCCCCCGCCCCCACCCCGGCCCTCTCCGCCGCTGCAGGTCCGCGCACCAGGAAGCTGAAGAAGAAGAAGAACGAGAAGGAGGACAAACGGCCGAGGACGGCGTTCACGGCCGAGCAGCTGCAGAGACTCAAGGCGGAGTTCCAGGCAAACCGCTACATCACTGAGCAGCGGCGGCAGACCCTGGCCCAGGAGCTCAGCCTCAACGAGTCCCAGATCAAGATCTGGTTCCAGAACAAGCGCGCCAAGATCAAGAAAGCCACAGGCATTAAGAACGGCTTGGCGCTTCACCTCATGGCCCAGGGACTGTACAACCACTCCACAACCACGGTCCAGGACAAAGACGAGAGCGAGTAGCCGCCGCCGGCAGGGGCCGCGCGGTCGGGCCGCGGCGCCCGCGCCCCCTCCCGGCACTGCCGCCGTCGCCACTCGGCCCCTCGCTGTGGGAGAAGGCATCTGCGCAAAGGAGGGAGGGAGCGGAGGGAAAAGAGCGAGAGAGACAGAAAGAGAGCCTCGGAACAGACAGTGACGTTGAAACGCAGCATTTTTGAAAAGGGAGAAAGACTCGGACAGGTGCTATCGAAAAATAAGATCTATTCTCTATTCACAGTATAAGGGACGAAACTGCAAACTCCATAAAGCTCTATCTAGCCAAACCGCTTACGACCTTGTATATATTTAATTTCAGGTAAGGAAAACACGTGTAGCGATCTCTATTTGCTGGACATTTTTATTAATCTTTATTATTATTGTTATAATTATTATAATTATTATAATTATTTTATCCCCTCCCCCTCCGCCTCGCTGCCCCCGGCCCAGTTTCGTTTTCGTTGCCTTTTTCATTTGAATGTCACTGCTTCTCCGGTGCCTCCCGACCCGCATCGCTGGCCCTGGTTTCTCTGGGACTTTTCTTTGTGTGCGTGTGTTTCCTCGCGTGTCTGCCCACCGCCTCTCTCCCACCTCCCGGGCCCTTTCTGTCGGTCTGTCTGTTCTGCCCCTCCTTTCGTTTTCCGGAGACTTGTTGAGAAACACTACCCCACAGACTGCGAGACTGAACCGCCGCTACAAGCCAAAGATTTTATTATGTTCAGAAATCTGTAGTCTGAAATAAAGTGTACACTGTGCTCACGAGCGCTGGCGGCCCTCCTGTTTGCGGGCTCGGGAAGGGCGTGGGTCCGGGCACACAGCGCCCCAGCGCCCCTGCGCACGCCGGGCCCGGAGCCGGCCGGGCCTTGCGATCACCGCACAACGAACGCAGGGGCAAAAGGGAAGTGCGGCGGTGGACGGCCCAGAATCGGGTTTGGCCTGCGTCTGAAGGGTCTGGCGGGACACGCCTGTTCTCCGATTGCGTTCAAGGGAACTCAACGGCCGGCAACCCCAGCCCTGGCTTCCGAAACACCGCCTGGGCTGCCGGGATGCTCCCAGCCCGGGTCCAGGCCCAGTCCAGCGGCGGCCTCCTCCGGTACAACCTGCTCCTCACTCCAGCCTGCACCTTTCTTTTCGTTTTCTTTCTTTCTTTTATTTTCCACCTGATGCAGGATTTGCTGCAGATTTTTTTTTTTTTTTTTTTTTTTTTTTTTTTCCTTCATCCAGAGGTACAGACCCGGAGGCCTGTCTCCCTCCCTCCCCAACAGCCTGGTTGGGTGAGGGATGCTTTGACCTGGCCTCTTCAGTCTGGACTCGCTGCTTTTCCTTTGGGGGAGCGCTTCTGTTGGCGAAGCATACGTCTGGGGGCGGCACGAGGAGGCTTTCGGGGCTTGGATCTCCTGATCCCGCAAAGCTGGAGGAGAGGAGGCCCAAATGCTGGGCAGCTGTGTGGAGTAGCTGCTTGGGCCTTGAACCCGAGATGGGCGCCAGCCTGCCATGTCTGGACCCTAAACCAAACAGGGTTCCCTTAGGCATCCCACAAAGCCTTAGTTTCTTCTTAAGAGGGGCGCACGCAGAAGCCCCAGGGCCCTCAGGACACCCTGGGTTCCCAGAAGGAAAAGCCTGGCCTGTCCCTGCTAACACTGGGGCCCATCCTTCCAGGTCAGTAGCTGGGCTCAGTGATTAAAAGGTGAGGAAGGGGAGGTTCCTTCTCAGGAAGTATTCTCTCCCCTTTGTCCAGGATTTTTTTGAATTGTAAATTCCACTTCCACCTTTTTTTCTCTCTTCTGCAATATGTATGTATATACCTCTACTTGTATGGCTAGATGGGCACATGCCCTCACGTACTTATGTGCATATATGGTAATGTGCAGATACATGCAGATATTGGTGCACCTAAGTTCCTAACAGTTTTTTGTATATTCCTGTACCTGTGAGTATTGTGCAATTTTCTTCTCTAATTAGATGCACAATTGGACGTTTGTGAGTTCACTGTGTGTACATGTATGAATTTGTGTTTGCACACTGGAATGTCTGCAGGTGTGTTTGCTGGGTTTGTGCATGTGTGAGAACACTATTCTCTGTGCTCTTCCCTTGAGTTTCTTATCTGTTTTTGCAGAATTGATTTTGTGTGAAATGAGAATGGCTAGCTCTTCCATCTTTTTTCTTGAAAGGTTTCCCCTGATTTGGCCCAATGGCTTGTTTGCTCCTGGCTGGGGAAATAACAGGGCTAGATCTCGAGCCCAGGAAGCCTAGAGCCCCACAAAATCCCCACTTAAGGGTTTGGGGGCTCAGTGGCCTAGAATGGAATTGGAGGGTGCCTTTGACACTGCTGTAGGTTCCCAACTTAATTGCAATTAAGTTCCTTCCTCCCATCTGCCCATTGTTTTCTGGAGGAGTGTCAAGTAACTCTTGCACATAATAGGTGCTCAACCAATCTTTGAATGCAGAGTTAGAAGCAGTGAGATGGGCCATCCCTGGGATTGGTCCAGGGGAGTTGTTTTCTGGCAGTCAAAAGCATGCGTTTTGCTTTCCTTGGGGAGTGGGCTTGGAATGTTTAAGCCTTCCAGACTTTCTTGTTAAAGAGTCTGAGGCCTGGGTCTCTGGCACCCGTCCCCTAATACAGACCTCTCCGAACTTCAGGAAGAGTCCCATTCCATCTCACCCTCCCAGCACATCCAGATGTGACGTTAAGGCTCCTCAGCTCTCTATATAGAGAACCTTACTACTTTGAATGTCTGGGAATTGAGCTACACTCCCTTCTGTCCTCCTTACTGTAGCTTCTTAGGATATGACGTCCCCCAAGACCACCAGGTTCAGAGGCTGGGATAGAGGCCAGTGTGAGCAGCAACTCCAGGAACCACTTCATTCCTTATGCTCCCCTTCTTCTTCCAAGAGGTCAGAACCAAGAGCTCTTTCCTTTAAACCATCGAGGGAGAGAGAAGGTGGTCACCCATTCCCATGATTGCCTTAGTAAAGTGTAGAGATGTGAGTGTCATTATTATGTAATTTGATTTCTTGCCCATTATCTCCTTTTATCTTCCAATCACTATGGGCAAATAGATTTTTCTTCATTGTACAGTGAAAGAACATGAAGTTCTGAGAACTTAAACATTTTGTTCATGTCTCCTCCATGACTACGTGTGTCTAAGTTGCATCTATTTCAAGGACCTGGCCAAGGCCCTGAAGCCATTATCCAGGACAACTTTCCCATCTTCTCTCCATTTTTTCTTCTTTCTGACTGGAGTAGAGGAGAGGGGAGGAGGACTCTGGTCAGAACTTTTTCTTGCACGCCCTCTAAAAAAAAGTACTAATAATAATCATAAATGGACATTGATTTCTCTGATTTATGGGGCTGGCTTAGTGAGCCGCCTGCGTATTAAAGTCTGGGGCTGCAGCGAAATAAATACTGGAGCACGCCATTCCAACTTCCGCATTTTCTGCTTTTCCTTTTTTTTTAAAGATTGGATTTAACCATAAACTTAAATCTTTCTCAGCCTAAAAGGAAATACATACTAGCTGAGTCTAAACAGTATTGATCCCTGGCTCTTTCTGAGGGCAAAGGCCTCTGTTTTCTTGCAGGGAACTCCCTTTCCTTCAGTAGGGTGAGCAAGAAGGAGAAGGCTGTGGGTAGATGAGGCTGAGGGAAGGCAGGAGGAAAGTAGAGGGAGAGGGTGCTGTGGTTTTTGGGAGTGTGGGGCTGCTTGGTGTGATTGCATGTGCTTATGTGTTCGTGGGTTGTATTATATGTGGGCATTTATATAGGGATAGTACTGAGTATTTAGGCTTGGGAGGTGGAAGTGTGTGCTTTGGGTGTTTGGCCCCACTGGTGATTGTTTGGTGTCTGTAAGTGAGTGTATGTGTACTGAGTTCTTAAACCCCCTAGATGGGGCTGCCCCGGGAACAGAGGAGTGGCCTGCTAGCCTGCACCCTCCCAGACCCCCACACCTATCTGTCACCTGTGGCAGGGTTTCCAGAGATAATACCATGGGGGAGGCCACTGTGCCCCAGGATACCCCCAACCCCAACATACACGCTCAGAAAAAAAAAATGCCCCAAAAAAGGCCAAGCTGCAAGGACAGGGGTGAGCTTTGGCTGACTCCTAGAGGTCCGGGAGGTGCGGGCCAGAGCTAGACTCTGCACCCTGGATGAATTATGCCATAGCTTCTGTGGGGTGGCCATCAATTCCTTCCATGGTCAGCCTGGTTTTTCCTTTGTGTGAATGAGAGAGGCCATTCTTCCAGCAATCTAGCCAACCCACTATCCTCTGCTTCCACCACACAGGGGAGGGGGACAGAGAAGGGCAGGGAGGCATCCAAGTGTCCTTCCCAGCTTCACCTCAGAGCCTGGACCATTTTAGTCTGGATGTCACAGTGGGCTCAAATGGAAGACTGTGCCCATCCCTGTCTGTGGGAGGTGATGGAGTATCTTCATCCCTCCTCACTCCCACTCCTCACTCCACTACCATCTCTCACTTTGAACTCTGGGGAGAGGGTTACTCTTCTGTGGCAACCTGTGGAAAGGGGAAGGGCTAGGGACTCTGCCAGCCTCCACCCCTCCTCAAATGCTTTAGGTCAGTTTTTTAATGCAGTATCAGTGTTGGAAGGGTTCTCAGGGATTCTTGAGTTAAAAAGTCCTGAGAGAGAAAGTGTCCCAAGAGAAAGCACAGGCGAATGAGAGACAAAACCCTCAGCTTTCCTATCAGTCCAGGCCTCTTCTCACTGTACCATCAAGTGGGTAATGTCAACACACGTGTAGGCACAATGCACACATGTACACACTTCCGCACATACAAGTGTATAACATGCACACACCCATGTGGATAAGTATGCACACGTGCAAAACATAGGCATGTATACAAATGTCAATGGATCAATATACAGTGTATTCACAGCAAGTATATGGACCTTGTCTGTGTAGAAAATTCTGGCACACAACTATGCATGAGCCAGGAATACACATACGGGTGTCCAAGACACACCTGCATGCCCCAGCTGGTGGGCTTCACTTCTAGCCAGGAGAGGGAAAGGACATTGTTTCCAGGACTCAGGACAGACCTGTGTGCCCTCTCTTTTGTATGGAAACCACCAGGAGGAGAGGCAGTCCCTTCCCTCTCCCCTGGAGGCAGCTGGTCCAGTCCAGGTGCCTGGGCTCAGACACAGACCCAATGCTACAACCCACTTCCCCAAGTAAGTACATCCAGTCCCCTCCCAGCTGGAGCTCTTGGGGCTGGAGCAGGCCAAGGGCAAGAGGGGGCAAACATCACAAACAGATTTCTCAGAGGCTTGGTAAGTCGTGGCCCATTACAATTTGCTCCTTGAGTTTGCTTCAGATACAGTCTTTCCCAGATGGGTGCCACTCTGGAGATGGAGTGGGCCCCTGCACTCTGGAATCTCCCCACATGTATAGGGGTGGGATGTTTAGAGGGCATTTGGAAAGATTTCAGGCTGTAGTAATGGAAGACTCTACGTATGCATAACCCTATAGAAAAGCAGAAATTTATTGGGTGTGTGCAGGCACACACATCTTGAAGAGAGGATTCCTATCAACAGCTCATGACTCTGCTTTAGGCAGGCAGGTGGGTGGGAGTGCTGGGAGGAGGCAGGGGATTATAGAGGAGACTAGTGGGACTGCTGAGGAGTGGGGTATAAAGCCAGGCACAAGTCAGACACTGTCAAACAGCACCAGACTCCCCTCTGCCTCCTGCCACCACACAGGCACACGGCTGGGAGAACGCTCCAGGGACAGCGCAGAGGAGTGGGAGC